GGGTGTGGACAAGGAAAAAAAATAACAAATCACTCTTTTATGCAACATCACAATCAATCCCGATACTAACCACAACTACATCACCAAAACGGCAAATGACAAAAAGCTAGACATGGCAATCCAGGCATCTTATACCGATGAAACCAAGGCAGAAGTGAAGACCAATTTATATGAGGGATTGCTGGTTAGAATGAATTCATGCTCTAGAATAGATCAACTTTCTTCTTCTGCATGTCTTGCTTCCACTTTGGCAATTTATAAAATGCTTCCTTTGCCATCCCAAATACTGTCTGGAACTCCTCATCTGATAAATATGCCTGAGAAATCAAAATAGTAAGGACATGAACATTCAGAAAAGATAGAATGAACTTAAAAACATCAATGGCGCAACAAACCTCTCTCCGCTTGAAGTCAATTCCAGTTACAGGATTGTCAGATTTGGCCTTCAGTTGGTCATAACTGAATGTACTTTGACTGCTTCCACTGCCATTCTCATCCTGTTCCAGCTCTTGTTTTGGTTCTGAATTGTCCCCATTGGTTTCAGATACTACAACTGTCTCCTTGGCTTCGGCAACTTCTTGAGAATCCTCTGCTTCAGAAGGGTCCACTTCACTCTTTGCTTCAGCTGTACAAAGTCAATGCATCAGAAACAGTTTTAAAAAGTACATGAAAAGACAGGAGGTCAAATTTACTTATCAGGTGCTGCACCAAGAATATTTAGCACCTTCTTGTGGATCAGCCCAAAGCAATGGTTTCTTTTTTTTTTTAAGATAAAATTGCACAAGGGTTCTTACGAGGTGGGCTGGTTACTGCAGGAGTGCTGCTAGTGGATTTTGTAGGGGATGCATCAGGTGATTGTTTCTTCTTTTCAGCAGTAAGAACCGAGGAAAGAGCAGCTACAGCTGCTGCTCTTTGTGATCCCTGACTGGCACTAGAAGGCTTTGCTGCTGAAAGTTTGCTTGCTGATGGTGAATTAAATGCAGAAGATAAGGCAGCCAAAGCTGAAGCTCTTTGCGTAGGTCCTCCTTGGTTTCCATTAGATCGATCCTGGGCCTGCAACAATGTCACATATCAAATACCTAATTCATAAGAAAAGTTAAAGAATGCTTTGAATTCTCAACACAGAAGCACACATAACTTCAGTCATAATCTCCATATATAAAAACAATGATACATAATGACATGTAAAGTAACAAAACGGCTGAAATGCAACAAGAAAGAATAATAAGCACAGCATCCAGTTACATACAGAAACGAGAGTCAAATGAGCTACATAAAGTAAAAACATACACGAATAAGGAAAACAAGCAGAACTAATATTCAAGCTAATTAGAAAGGGGAAAGAAACGCATTATGAAGCTGAAATTAACTGGGAAAAGGGGGAAAACAAAAATAATAATCCAAAACATGTCCAGCCAAAAACAAAATACATATTTAACAAGGCAAATTAAACATTGTAAAATTAAGAGGCAACAGGATTCATAATTCTCCTCTTTTCATTTACATCATTTTTTTTTTTCTGGCTTTTGGTATCCTGCAATGGCAGCTAGCATAGATAACAAACATTATTCAAAGGAGCCAGAATGTAAAAAATTCGTTAGACAAAAGACAACATGAAGCAAGTTGATGAACTATACTTGGATATCTGTAAGCAAGTATGGGTTACGCATGATAAAGACTACTTTTTGTGCTGCAGGTGATATCTCTAAGAAATGAAATCCTATATGTATTCTTAAAAGGCATTCATTTCCAGTTTTCTAACACCCCCTTCCAAATGTTTTGGGAACTTCATTAGGTGGGTTGTCAGCAGCGTAAGCACCCTACTACATCAAACCAACAATGCAAAGAACAGAATATAAGAATCAAAACTCCAAACATTACAAATTTTCAATGAAAGGCTGCCATAAAGCACAATTGTATTCTCCTAAACCAAAGCAGCTAATAGTCCTACTATTCTCAAACTAATTCGGACGGTACAACCGGTTCAACTTACTAGTTCCTTTTCAGCTGTTACTAACGAGACTCAAAATTAAATGCAGTCAAAATTAAAGAAATGTATAGAAAAGAGTTCAGAAAAATTTTGGTGGCATGGAGCAGTTTATTACCGAAAGGGTTGATTTTGCAGAAGATGGATTGAATGCAGAAGACAAGGCAGCTAAAGCTGAAGCCCTTTGAGTGGGACCCCCTTGGTTCCCATTGGACTTCTCCTGTCTCGGCAGCATAGAATCCATCAGTCAGGGAACTAGTTTAGCAAACAAATGGAGAGAGAGCGAGAGAGAGAGAGAGAGAGAGACATTATCATCTTCACATAAGACCTAATGCCACCGTCCTTAATTTACCAATTTGAATTATTATCCAAAAGGACAACAAGGTCAGGATCTAAGGCTCCACCTTAGGGCAACCGCTACTAAAGTTCAGTGTCATCACATTGTAACAGATAATATATTAATTTATCTTAAAAGTTTTCTTTACGTGTCATTTAAACAAGACGCTTCCTCTTCCTGAATTAAGTTTAGCAACAATATGCCTATAGAAAAATGATTATTGATGCCCACAATGGATAAGCAAAGCAAAGTTTATAACAGGAAGCCAAAAGGAAGCCATATATAACAACATCAAAAGAAGTAATATTATAACAAATCTCATCCATGCTTTCAATCCATCAAAGCAAAACCTGCTTTAATAAGTTATTTTCCTTACAAGGAGCCTTGAAAATAGACTCCCATTTAATTTTTATGAACCCAATTTCACTGTATGCTTGACAGAAGCTTCATATAGTGAGAATTGGTCAGCTTATGTGAATTAAAGAAAGAATTTACCTCTACAGCATGGCTCGCCCCAAAGAGCAATGCCACCTTCTTCTGGAATGAATTTCCTTGTACCTGTATTCCAAAGAGAACATCTAAGCATATATATCAAACATATGCAGTTGAATGCAAACACACATGAAAGGAAGGATGAACCATGTCAGTGGAAGAGCTGTTAACCCTTAAAGAAACAAAATAGTATTTCATAACTCTTTCAGAGTGTGAGTATAGAATAAGCTGAACCATTTTTTATGGTATACTGCAAGTGGCAACAATTAAAGTAATTGCGATATTTATTCAAGATAAAAGAGGCTTTCAATGGTATGATCCTTTAATTTAATTTTTTTTTTTGAATTAGATGGTACTTTCAACAAAGTGCACTATGCTAATCAAGACTTCCGCTCTAGTCCAAGTAGCATCATCATAATGCTTACTATCATAACTTTTCATACTTGGGGCTCTCTCATCTCAGTTTAAATTTTAGAGTCCTTGTACTTTGACTTCTTATTTCCTGCACCTCACACCAGCTCTAAAGTTTTTATTTTTTCTCCTTATTTGTTTTTTTCTCCAGAGATAGAAACTCATGAACCCAGGCTACATTTGATGCTTAAATGTGTGGTTAAATAGTCATAGAAATCCTCTACAGGCTCTCCATCAGTCTCACATTCAAACATTTCCTCATCCACAATACAAATGCATTGATTTAAACCATATGCTATGCATTTTCTCAATATTGTCCATTTTGCATAGACAAGCTGAGAATATAACTTCTCATAATTTGTTGCTGATGAAGATGAAAGTGATCTAACAATAATTTGAAGTGACAGTAGCTCAAGAAAGATCTAGTCAAGAACACACGTACAGTAGCTCGTGTGGAATCCCATGAAAAGAATGTTGTGAAGAAGCAGGGTTCATTTCCTTCGGTAACTTTGTAAAGTGGAACATTTGGAGACAAACCCTCTAGAGATGCAGCCATGTCTATGTATTTCTGCAAAGAACTTCAAAATGAATACCAAACAGATTGAAAGGATAAAATGACAAAGGAATCAGGTTTTTATTTATTACCTGCCCAATTTCAAAAACATTTTGCTTTTCTTTGGTGTCTACAGATTGACCAACCCAAACAAACACTTCAGCATGTGTGTCGAGTATCAAAATATCTTCAGTCAAGAGATCGTCTTGAGAGAAGTTGTAAACTTCCTCAACCTGCAAAACAAAATGTAAAATTACATGTAGAAGAGACTGGCTACCTGGAGGAAAGGAGTTCAATTACATTAGAAGTCTCAAACTTACCTCAAACTTTCCTGAGGCATCCATTTGGAAACAGATAAAATCATGGAACGAACAATTAGAACGGTAATAAGCTTCCTCAATAACTTAAAGGAGAAGGAAGAAAGCACAGAGCACAAATTTGATAGTAAAGCAAATCACATTTAAGAACAAGGAAAGACACCTTTGTTAAGAGAGAACATGAACAAGTGGGGATCCCTGACAGTCTCGGTAGATGCCTTTTTGCTGGTATAACTCTGTTTCCCCCCAAGTGCAAACCAGAAGGTAGAACTCTCTGTTCCTTCTTTAGCATGTTTAAGAGCAACTCCAGGCTGAAGGCAAAAGATTATAGATGATTGATTGACATGGGAAGGAAGTTGTTTAAAAGAACTATGTGCTATTATTAACTTTTATTATTGAGGAGCAAATCTAAAGTTTAATGCCAGGAAGATGCATTATGCTAGACTGTGAAATGTACCAGCTCATTGTTTGATTTTGAGTATATTTTATCTTGTTCCACTAAGTATTCAGAATGGATTCAGAGGAAAAAAACTATAAATACCTAAATAACTAAAAATCTCAAAAAGCAGAAAACAGGTATTATCAGCAGAAGATTTGTGATGAAATAAAAAGGTAACTACAACAGTCAACTGAAAAGAACTATAATCATTATCTAAGAATTAAACCTTACCATGTCATTGGAACAGGATCATATAGGCATAAATTACTTAGATTCTTTAGTTGTATTGATTAATTGGTTGCCTTAACTTGTTAGATGCTAGACTGTAACAATATCAAGTTATCACCAGGTTTCCCAATAAAATGCTTGAATCTTGTGTCACACCAAAGACCAAAAGTAAAAAACTTTCTGCAAAGAATATACCTTTAAAAATTCAGCAACTTTAGCAGCTAATTGCTGCTGTTCATAGGTGCTTTGATTTCCATGCCAAGTGAAAATTGAAGATCCAGATTGCAGAAGGAAACACTCAGTAGAGTTCAATGATGTTGCCACCTGAACAATAGTTACAAAACAAGGAGGTATTGCAGTTAGGATACAAAAGGAATATGTCATGATGCTGCACACATCATAATAACAACTGCACGAATACAGTCATCATCACACATTTGATACCAGTAAAATAAATGGAGACACTATGGAAGTTGCATTTTTGGTTCCCTTCTCTGCCTTTTAACGTCCATAATCAGGTTAGGTGTATTATGAGCACTTAACTCAATCCCAAGGCTTTCATGTTCCTTTCTCATGTGTTTACCAAGTACTCTTTTCGCTGCCTCTTTGATGCCTTTAAGTTTTGAACCAATTCAAGCTTTCTTGATAAAGAAAAGTCTTAGCTTTCTTCTATTACATCTAATGACATCAACTAGTTTGGTAGTCATAGTTGTAAAGTTAAAACCTTCTCAAATCAAACAATCTTCATCTAACATTTTCAGGATTCCAGGCCATCAATTCACCAACAAATGCTCTCTTCAAAGTTGTTTTTAAACCTAAACTTCCAAATCACATCTTGCATGAGTTATGAGACTTTTTATTAACTAGTTTCACAATCATAATTACAGCATTAGTGAACAACAAAAGCCAGAGGTAGAATTTTGTCCTTAAGAAACAACCGAATCCTCAGAAGACTTACATTTCAATATTTCAACTAATGCAAGACAGCAACAGATTCAGTTTCAAGTACAAATAAATATTTTTCACACATGTTCACTTTTACATTTGTAATTAATCATGTGTAATTGGCAAATAAAACCAGCTTATCAAGGGAAAACAAATTTCTTTTATGAGACTACTGAACTTAAAGCACAATGAGACCACAATAAAAAAGGAAAAAAAAAAACCAAGGGAACTATGTGTGAAGCTTCCTTGACTAAATGAATATGCCAGATGATAATTTGCTTGAAATTTAGAAAAATAATAGAAAAAGGGATGGGGACGTTCTACTTGACAAGCTACTTGACAAGCTATTTCTTCTATTTTAAATCATGGTGATAGGACACTGCCAATCATACTACCATGGTCAGAAAGATTCTGGACAAGCACTGAACAATTACCAAGATACATACAATAATGCTTTTTGAAGCATGATAAAGAAAGGATGTTAAGAGTTATGCTAAAGCACTTTAATATAGGATATTTCATAAAAAAGACCTGCAAAATATCTCAAATTATTTAAGATAGGAAAGGCCGTTAAAGTCAGGCAAAAGCAAAGAAATGTAAATTTTGAGAATGAAACAACACAATTCCCGAAAACGTGGGAAAAGAACACAGAAATATTTAATGGTTTACATGCTTAATTGCTGAATTTTCAATCAAATTTCTCGAAGTCAAAAGAAAACTTAAAACTATCAACTTCTCAGTGCAAATTGAAAAAGATGTCACATCAACATGATTCTACACTTAATGCTGGCAACTGGAAATATTATGGTCTAAATTCTACTTGCTTGCCAAACAACAGTAAACTAGTCTTTGCATATAAGTTTTAAGGAAAAACCATGAACATCGAGAATTCCAAATCACCAACTAAACATAATTTTAAAAGGCAAAAGAGTCAAAACAACCAATAATTGCATACCGCATCAACTTGCAATGCTTTATTATTGTGGACAAAGGTTCCTGATATCCGAAAGAGAGCAACACAATCTGCTGTGTAGGTTTCATCTGTCAAGCCTTTGTCTGCCATACTCTTTTTGTAACCAGAGCTTAGACCACCCTAAAAAGGAATAAATCATAGGAAAATTAGTTGATAACCATCAATTCTAAACCAAAATCTTCCAAGCTATTGGTATTGAGATTCTAAACTATGAGGTCAAAATGAATACCTTAAGGACCACCATAGGTTGAAACAGCGCAATGAATTGGGGTGGCTCTTTACCTTCAAAAACTCGACCCTGCAAGAAGCATCTATTAGAAACATGAGCCTCAGAATCATAGTAATCAGCCAAAGGTAATATGATACCTGAACAGGCCTCCCCTTAAGTGAGTTAGACATTGTGTTAGCCAACCGAGCAGCCATCTTTTGGTCCTCCTGAATTAAGAAATATATATACTTTTAGAAAATAAAATTTTAACTAGTAAGAATGACCATCACCAGAATAAAGTCCATCATATTAACATGAACTACATAAGCACCTCTTTCTTCTATACAGCAAACATAACATATGGAAGCTACGATTAGGAAAGTAATGAAAGCCGGGATATAAATTCAATGTAGAGAACATGCCGAATGAAGTAGATATTGTCACCGCTATATGAGTTAGAAGCCAATTCATTGTAAGAAGTAAGCACAACAAATTATAAAGAATATGCTCAAGTTCTCAAAAATCAACAGTGACATCAAAAGTTGAACTTGTTGCAAAGAAATTTAACATGTAAAAATTATATTTAAGAAACAAAAACTATGAGCTGCACTAGGTATTACCAGCAAAGATACAGTTGATGGTTAATGAGGCCTCATCAATGGGAAAAAAAATATAGCAGCTTTCAATTTTCTTTTTCTTTCTTAACTTCATATCAGAGATTTCAGGTTTTTCTTTTTCCTTCTAATTTTAATGTTCAGGATAGCATGGCCGCTGTGGTAATATTGTCAGATTCCAGAATGGGTGAGGATTATGGGCCTCACTTTTCTTCAATTTATCTTCTTTTATTCATTTAATTTGTCAAGCAATCTTATTTCCCAGCCACTAATTGCTGTATTTTTTACAATGGCGAACTCCTAACCATTCACACCCATTGCAGATGCACCTAGATTAGGACTCCCTCAAATTTCCATGACTAAACTGAAGGGTTGCATATCTGTTATATGTACCCATGTGTGCTTGCATTCACTATTTTCATAGACTGATATTTTACCAAATATTATTTGTCCACAAATTTCCATGACTTAAACTGAAGGGTCGTGGATCTGTTATATGCCTGTATGTGCGCTTGCATTCACTATTTTCTTAGCCTGATCTTATATTTATAGAATCCAATAGGTGCAGTCAAAATTCTACCCTCCATCAAAGGTTCAATTTGAGATGCTTCAAGATTGACAAGGGACCACTAATAGTACCTATGAATGCCTCGATAGAGTAAGCCTGCCAAAAGGGAAACTAATTAGGCAGCTTAAGAATCCAGATAATGTGGCAGGCCTAGTTGATGATGTGTATGAAATTAGGAAGGCAACTTTCAAATTTCTCATCTGATGGAGGCACTCATACTGGTAGGCATATCTATTGGTCTTTCAATAATGACAAGGAGCTCATCTTGGCAGCACTCTAGTCTATATTATAACACATCAAGTCCACTGTTTCCCATTAATATGTGGAAGGCAGTTCTATCATCAACAAAAAGTTGAGATGAATGACTGAAAGGGTGTATTAATTTAAATTATGTCAAACCCAACGAGAACATTGTAAATTACCTCAATGCTATCCTTTCCAATCCAACAGCAGAGAAAGTAATCTTCTTTCCTGTCACCTGAGTGGTAGGTATAAAGCACAATGTAGCAGTCTCCACTATAGAATTTACCAATATCCTCTTTTGGCAACGGTGTCTTGGCACTGCCATTGATGCACCACACCTGACAAACAAGCAATACCATACTCATGTAAACAGTTTATGTCTTCAAAGCCAAATCCCAAAAATAAACTAAAAACAGACTAGTAACTCGACCTCCATCTTTCCACCCCCTTCAAGCAAAGGAGGAACTTCCTCATTTACAGGAACACTTTTGCTCATCCCCTTCACACCAACCCCTTGTTGCTTCAGCAGAGCTAGCAGTAGAAAAATACCATTCAATAATGTAAATTTAAAAAAAAAATAGTGTCATTTGTAGCTTACTAAGTGAAACCTACCGGCTACTTTTCCTCTTCCCTCCTCACCACCAGGAGCTGCAGACCCTGCAGGCCAAGAATCAAAGTTGGACTTGAATGAATTGGTCTCATACCCTTGGATGACACGGGTTATGCGTGTTGTTTTTGGTCTATTGTGGCCAGTAACAAATTCCTGGAGATAAAAGGTTGGGAATGAGAATCTGTATTCTTGAAATTCATGAAGATATAAATGCCATGACTCTAGCTCTACCTCAGCAACTTGACTGGCAGCTTTTCTATCCTCTACTTGTGTCACCCGTCCAACCCAAACAAAAACCTCAGCACCGCAGTCTAGTATATAGCACTTGTTGTTTTCCAAGAGACCTTTGGATAGTTCGCCTTCTACGATCTTCACCTCACCATCAGTTATGCTACAGGAACAAGTGATTTCAAATTGGCAGTTAATTAAGACATACACCTTTAAAAACAACAGTAACATATACTAATATTAACTCAAAAAGGATTTCAATCAGGAGTGCCTCAATAGAAGCCCTACCTCAACACAAACATCTTACCACAGAAAGTTCAGTTCATCTATGTTACCTATAATAACAGCGACCACAAAAATATTCTTAAAGCTGTCTGGGGAACAAATTAAAATAAGCTTAATGCGTTCTTTCACTCACTGCAGTAAAATTAACTATACACTGGAAAAGCTCTAATATATAATCTGATCTCCATTTCCTTTTTGATAAAGAAAAGAGGCAATTGACGTAGTGTGTAAGAATTAACAATTCTGACCTTAATCTATAATGCTGGCTCATGACTTCAGTACTAGTGAAAACATGCTTGATAAGAGTAAAGAAATTGATTTTATATTTCTTGAAGCATAAAGATAATTGACAGGAATTCCAAAAAGAACATGTGAGAAACATGACTTTGAACAGATTGGATGAACTAAATAGAATGGGTTCTAGAGTTTGAAATAAGAAAACGGTTTTAGAGTTGGTTGCTTTTAACTAACAAGGTTCCGCAGGTTGAGATTTTAGGGTAAAATATTAGCTGGATTAGGACAGCTTGATTTTATGGGTTGTTATGTTGAAGGTAATAAATAAAAACAGATAAAGAAATATATGGAAGCTTAAGGATTTCAAGAACATAAAAAGGACTTTGATGCAAGCTTGCAACAAGGAAGAAAAAAAAAAGGTAATGACTGCTGTTCCAGAACCATGAACAGTTTCTTGGAAGGACTGGTTAATTTTATCTGATGATTTCATGTGGGCATGAGGTTGGAGCTACAAGATTTGCCTCAAAGGACTAGCAACGAAGAGAATAATCCAGCAAATACAGCAACATAGAATTAAGAGTAGAAGAACAAAGGGATGCAGAAGATAACCCCAAGCTCCCAAATCATCAAAAGATACACAAAAAGACACTGCTAAATTTTCATAAAACTATACGCCCTAGTATCATGGAAATACTTATATCAGTTAAGACTCCAATTGTAACGAGACTAAGATCCTTAAAATCACATTATTAGGAACATGACCTGAATTAATGAAGCACATGATATACAACAGCCAGCATCTTTATGTAGATAAACGAACAAAACTTCTGCTTGTTCTAGAAAAAACAAAACAAAAGAACATCTGGAGAACTTCATAAACTACTAGATTAGCAACCAGCTGACCTAAAAACTGTTATAAGCAGTTGTCCTTGGACCAAAAAACTTCTTTTTTTCTCATTAGAGTCATGACCTTGACTCTTAGCTTCAACATCTTCAACCACTCTGATAATGTGCCAAAAATATGACTGACTAAATAGGACCAAAACAAAACAAGTTTCATGTTTTAATCTGCCTGCATTTAATAGAAGAGCAAGCATATATACATACACATGAAGAATGATGGCGTGATTTTATATTTATACACATACTACATCTACACTCCTCACTTTTACTAACCTTACTAAGGTTATGATTTAGAGCATTGTATTATGATGCATATAACCAACCCTTCATAGAGAGAAAAGGCTTGCTTTCTTGTACAGTTGTTTTTAAACAATGGTAACACTAACTTGTTCCTACTCAGAGGAATACTTGAAGTTCCAGCTTAGTGGTTATCAATACCATTAGATTGGAGAATTGATAAGACCCATATAAAGGCATAATCTCTACAAATAACATCAGAAACACAATTTATAAATATTTTCATAAACTCAAAAGGTTACTACTATTTAAATTAAAAACTCTCGAAGGTATAATTTCTCAAGGATACAGCATGAAACAGTATGTTAACAAAAATATGAACAGGATGATCACCTCCCCACTAAAAGACAGAACCAAGAAAGCTGAAACAATTCTCAAATGTCTACATAATATTTTCAGCCAAGTAAGTTCATTTTCAGAGAACTCTTATAACAAAGAGGGTGAATGGCTACACAGCTCATTAGTTTTTCTCTTCTTTTGTCAATCTACGATGAGAGTGTATTTGATCATGCATGCGTGAATAAGTAATATAAATAAAACTATGCAAAATTAATTCTTTGCTTATTAATCTGGTTGCGATAACTAAGAAACTGAAGTACTCTTACCAACATATAAATAGGATACATATCATTAGTGTCTAACTCTAGCAAAATTCTAGATGCAACTTAATTTTCATTTCTGCAGCGGAAGGAAAAACAGAAGATACAATTACCTATAAAGTTTAGCAGGAGTAGTCTCAGGAATAACATCATCTTCACAGGTAACCTTCTTGCCTATTGGAGCAAAACCACCAAAGAGAACCCAGAACTCACCAGAGTCGGACTCTGTATCCAACTTCCCATCATCTGGCAGGGTGATGACCATTTACGCATATATAAGTGAAGATCGAAAGAGTGCCCTCTTTAGATAGATTAAAATAAATAACCCTTGCACGCAATTCGATTAATACTATTGGAGAAGTAGAAAAGCAAGAAAAACAGCATCACCAATACTGCAAATGCATGCACCCTTACCAACAATTGCAACGTCACATTTTCCCTCATGATACTTTTCCTTTAAAAACTGAATAACTTCCAATGCCTTTGCCCTTTCCTGAATATTAGAGTTTGCACCATTGAACTGATAAATCTTATTCTGAGTGTCCAGGATAAATACATCATCGTGATTCAGTGAAGACCGAGCAAAAGGAACCTGCAAAAGCATATACAAAATGCTATTTCCTGATCCACAATAATCTCATATTCAGTGGAAGTTCATAATTAGTTTACAAACTTTTCTTTTCTTTTTTCTTCTTTCAATCCATACTCATAAACTTATGTAAAGAGCATGAGATACCTGCTTCAATCTGACAACTCGCTTTCCTCTGCAGACATACAACCGTGTTTCAAACTCTTCTTCTTCTGGTTTTTTAAACCCAGAAGCAATACCGCCCTCCAATGGTATAATGCAAGGTTTAAAGTACGACAAAAATTTGTCAGATTCATGGCCTTGAAGTTCCCTGTGCTGCACAGCACGCCCTCCTAAGACTGCATCTAGCTCAACAGTTTTGATAGCAGCTGTTCCCGCCTCATCCTACATGTGACGGCATGATCTCAAATGATGTTTTAGTTCATTTGAAGGAAATTTAAATCCTCAACAAATTAAGAAAAGTAAAAGTAGATGAAGCATCACCTGACTTGTATCTTTTCCCATCCAGAAGTGTATGTCATACAGATATGAACCTCCCTTGCTAGGTGTTGTCTACAAAAAATATACATAAAAAGAAAAGAGAAAATGAAAAAAAATATAAAGAAAACTTTAAATGTGTTATCAAGGCCCAAAATAAGAGAGAGAAATAAATGTTGTGTAGCACACCAGAGAGAGCAAGTGAGAGAGAGAGTCTGCACCTGTAAGACAATGTAAGAATCACCCATGTAGAATTTTCCATAGTCAGACTTTGGCAACGGAACTGGCTGAAAATCCTCAATACGCCAGATTTCAGTCCCGCTACAATATGTCAAGTTCAACAGCCTTAACATAAGAAATTACCAGGACAAATATGCAACATAAGCACACATCTCAATTTTTTTTTATAAAAAAAAAAAAAAAGAGCAGATGGCATTATCTTTTCTTTTTTCGTGCTGGCATTGGAAACAACATAGTTATTGATTCCAAATCTCTCTTATCAATTAAAATATCAATATACCTTATCTAAAAGAAAAAGCTAAAACCAATACAAAATTTAAGTGCACATCTTCACAACTTATATGCTCTTCATTTTAAGGATACGGTTTCTGACCCACTCCTTGAAATGCAGGATCCAGAACTTTTGCAGAGCTAGACATATCTCAGAACTCTTTATCACTGTTTTAAAAGAGTACAGCTCAACTTGATAATCCAACCTTCAGCAGTCCAGAAATTGCACAAAGCTTCACAGCTCTGGAGAAAATACAGGAAAACCTTTTTAACTGATACTTACAGCAATTTAAGCAGACTAAAAATATGTTCCCATTTCACAATGCACTATACAAGCAGAGAACAAAAAATAAGAGTCTAATAATCAGGAAAAAAGCAAATCAGTTTTGCTTTCTATGAAGAGCCATTTAAAAGGAAAGAAGTGACAGCTTTTCCCAATCTTCAGCAACAAGCCAATGTTGGCAATACATTATCAAGGTCTAGCATAAATAAATTTCAGACAAGCTGCACAATAGTTTGATTAGCAAGATGGGGTACTTTCCTGATTTCCATTAATTTAAAGAGTGCGTGCTCACACACACACACAATGATTTGTTTATCCAGGACAAAGAGAAGTAGCCTACCAGATTGAAAAACAAGATACATGAATCACCGGCATCAGATATTTCTACTTCATGTATTTTGGACCCTCTAAATGAATTAAAACATACAAAAAAAAAAATAATGTGCAGCATGCAACCACCCGTACCAAGTCCATCTAACATAGCTGCACAGACTTATCTAAATGGTTAGGCATACAATAAATCAACGAATGGCATTTGATTATTCTCCTCTGAGGATGACATCCCGTACATATGTTAACTTGGTTCATTCTTTCATCATTCAAGTAACCACTAAAGCATGTTGTGTCTCTATGTGTCCTAGCACACAAACCAGGTCACTTGACGTGTATTACTTCCAATTAAAATTATTGTACATAACCTTAATTAACTTAGTATCCCAACCCTGCCTTCCGTAGGACCTTCTACAAGGCAGCATGATGACCAACTTCCCATAGAAAACTGCCATTTATTTCAATAGTCATTATATTAACAACGAAGCCCCATCATCATTTTATAACGAATTGAGAAATCAACTATCAAAGAAGTATGCCTTTGGTTGTGAGAATGATAATCTTCTTAAAAGAATTCCTAGACACATGGACATCAGATGAGTATAAAAACTGTCATCTTCTTTACATTAATGCTTGGAAGTTGATCCACAGAAGAAAACTGATCAAATAGTCCTTGTAGTTAATGTGCTATGAATTTAATCTTCCATTCACCCAAGTTACATTACATGGTGCCATAAAAATCAGATCTACTTGTCCAATCCTAATGTTCCATGAGTTGTTTAGGCTACTAAACTTATTACATCTTCAGTTCCTAATGATAATTATCCATCCAAAGACTCAACACTTAGCTGATCCTGGTCTTAAAACCAATGACAAAAATTAGCATGCAAAAGAACTCTTTCACAAAGTTGATCTCAGATAACAAATTTCATATTCCTGCACCATATATGAAGAAACAGGAGCATCTTTTCAGCATGAATAAACATGAAGAATGTGTTATGTCCATGCATCTTGCATTGCAGAACTTAAAACATCAAGATGAAGTTCACAAAATTGACAGGGGATCTCCAATCAGCATTCTTTCTTAAAGTAAAAATAATCATCTTTCTATACATGCACATAATTGTCAACTCCACTTAATTCGGAAGTTAATAAACTCCTATTCTTCTGGCCAAAAATATAAAATAAAATTAACTCCTATTCTTTAAACCAATCATCCATCATTTCCGCACTAATCTAACACAAGTCCACTTATCCCACACATGCCAAGTATCAAGCATTTGCTTGCAGTTGTTCCAGGCTCTTAGGAGAATACCCTCATCAATCTTGCTCAAATCTCGGCATCCGAAGCATCAATCCAATAATGAGCACTCTATGGAAAGCAATGTACTGTTTGATTTGATCACACAACTAAACAGAAGGTTGCATGGCAGCAAAGAATTTTAGCACTAGTGCCATTGATCAGCTATCGAAGCAACACTTACCATGATCGATCACGGGATCAAAAAGCAAGCAAAAACAGAATTGGATGAACCCAACAATCAATCAAAACTTGGCTCAAAGCTAAGATCTTTCAAACTCTAATGTTCAGTTACAATAACAAATCAAATCATTTCCACAGCTGATGCTACAAACAGAATTCAAAAATTTCCGTACACTTACAATAGAGAGTTTTGGGAAAAAAATCAAGATTAAACAAGCAGTAAACAAACAACAACCATTATGACCAGCCAGCTTAATGACAAAAAAGTAGAACGTCTGAAAACTTGTCATCAGCATCAGACGAGCAGATCAAAACAAGAATTAAGGAAAAAGAAACAAAACCCATTAAAATTAAGACAAGATCAAGCAAACCCAGATCAACAAGCACCAAATCAAACATGAAAAAAAGAAAAAAGAGATTCAAATAAGCTACAGCCCACAAATGAAAAAAAAAAAAAAGTGATCACAGCAATGGCCTTTCCTCTGATCATAGCATATCCAAAGGAGACAGAGAAAAACAGAAATAGACGATGATCAAAGAAGAAGAAAAGGGTACCTTGAGAGAGAGATCTCTGTCTTTGAGTTTGGAGGAGGGAAGGAAAGGAGCTAAGCAGAGCTGGCAATTAAAAGATAGGAAAGAAAGGGAGGATACTTGGAAAGAAGAAGAGAATTATTGCAGTGGTATGTGTTGGGTGAGCGTTTCTCTCTCCAACTTTATCTCTTTAGTTTGGGACTTTTTTGAGATTTGCAAATTGAGAGAGAGAGAGAGATGGACGAATGAATGAATTATGATGAAGAGAAGAATAGATTGAGAACAGAAGAGAGAAGTTTCTTTTTTTTTTTTTTGGGTTTTTGGAAGGAAAAAAATAAAAAAGATTTTTCAGAGTTTGGGGCAGATAAAGTCGTTATTTAAGGCAAAAAAGATCCGGTGACGATGGCACCGGCCATGTTGGCTCTCTCTTTTGCTTAGATGGATTTCTAATTACTTTTATATTTTTATTTCTCTTTATCCTTTCTTTTCTTTTTCTGTTTTTATATTGTTTTTTTAATTATTTGAAAAATATTTCATTTCTCTCTCTTTTCAACAGACAACTTAACTTCATTTAGTTAAGCAATTTTTATCATTTTTCTTTTATCTGTTTCTTAGGTATTGAATATGATAATTATAATACATTATATATCTCGATACCTACACATATGATGCTAAGATATAAAATAGCAACTTTTTTTCTCTTGTTTCATAAATCCTAAGATTTGGAGGCAGAGATCTCTAAATTTGATATTCCAATAGATCTCTATATTTGAGACTCCAATTTTATCCCTAATGGACATGCCATATGTACTATTCAAAAGTTTACTGATGTGTGAAATTAATTCATGAATAATTTTACTATTTTAATATTCAAAGCTACATGTAAGTGTTATAAGATTATATTCTAGCTCAAAAAATATGTCTATGAAAGGGAGGAAAGGTCCCTATTAAGGAGAGAAAAGGTTTTATAATCTTACTTATAAGCTAAGACTCACTTCATCTCTTATTGATACGAGACTCGTGATATTATATTCATTGTATAATACTCTCATTATATGGACTTTTTCACACATAAAGGAGAGGAATCCACTTTGGTCTGGACCTATACGGATCTTACTATCTCTCTTTGAAGGATCCCACATCAACGAAGAGTTAGATAGGTTCCAATACCACTAGTTACAAGATCACACTTCCTACTTAAAAGAGATGTTTATTAAGTGAAAGCAAACCCTTACTTATAAATCCAAGGCTCGTCTCTTTTATATATATATATGAGATCCATCACACAAGTTATTCCCCTAGTATTTTATCATATATATGTTTTATTTAATTTTAGCGATTTACTATCAATTGATTTAATTTATAATACTAAGAGTTATTTTATCCATGATATTTTTTTTGGAATTGGGAAAAAGGGAATTCAAATCTGTTCTTTAAGCACGAAGATCATACACTAATCAATTAATCAAATACTTGATTTATTTTGTCCATGATATTAATAATGTGTTTTTTATATTTGTTGATTACATAATTTAATTTATATTTTATACAACAAATAAGATATTAATATTTATAAATTGTATTTTAAAACAATGTTAAAAGTATTTATTGTTAATTTTTATAATATTTATAATTAATTGTTTAATATGATTATTTTAAAGATAAAATACTCGCATCTCCAAACTTTTAGTTATAATTCTAGATAGATCAATTAGTTTTCGAAATGGACATTCCGTCCTAAAAAAAAATCTTATATGTTCAATTGTTAGTCAACCATTAGTATTTTCATTTATTTGATGACATGGTAATATTGAAAAAATAGTTTTACCCTTTATTAATTTTAAAAATAACTATTATATAATTTTTTTCGTTTGTAAAAAAAAATTTAAGGAACACCCTCTCTCCCTTCCCTTGGGAGCATCTTTAGTATTTTCGTTTGTTTGATGACGTGGTGATATTAAAAAGATAATTTTACCATTTATTAATTTTAAAAATTACTATTATATAATTTTTTCTTTTATAAAAAAAAATTCAAGGGAGCACCAAATCCCTCCCTTCCCTTAGGAGCATCAATCTGATGCTCCCAATGGTGCTCCCCTTTCTTAGGGAGCACTTGATCGATGTTCTCTTCTTTGGAAAACACCTGTAGTGGGGTGATTGGTCAACGAATAAGAGCATCGTCGGCCATCCACATTGTTTGAGAGAAAAAAAATAGGAGAAAGAAGAAAAGACATTTTAATCATGACATTATTTTTGTTAATTATGTTTACACTTTTGGAGGAAATATTCATTTCAAAAATTAATAGACTCATATGAAATTATGATTAAAAGTTAACAAAGTTAGGGTATTTTACCTTTATTTTAAATATTTTATACTAAATGACGTTTGACTTCCATAAGTTACCAACATGATGATCTTTAATTGTGATTTATAATGGCCAAATAAATCAACATTAACATAGTAATTTTAGTTCACTATTTATATATTATCATTATAATATCAAGAATATCATGACAAATAAATCATCATGATGATCAAGGGCGGAAGGGAGGGGGGTTAGTAAGGGCCTTCACCTTTTGAAAAATTTTAAAATTTTTATAACAATTGTTATTTTTTTGAAATTTTATAACTTTGCTCTTACAATAATTTTATAATATATCTTTATTTTTTAGAATTTTATAATTTTACTCTCATAATAATTGTATAATTTTGCTCCGTATTTTATAATTTTTATAACATATCAATATATCATTTTTTATATTTATTTTACACCTTATAAGGGAGTTGGTGGAGATAACAACTGACCTCTCAAAAGCTTTACAACTTAAGTCTCAAGATGTAATTCATTTAATGTCGCTTACTAAAAAGCGTCTCCAATAATTGAGAGAAGCTGGATATAAAACTTTGCTTATATCAGTAATGAAATTTTATAAGAAATATGAAATTGAGATTCTTGACATAAGGGGTTAGATATAAATTAGATAAAAGTCGTCTCATTCCATAATTGAGCATCATTGTTGAGTTAACTTATTTCTGACTGCCATTGACTAACTCTTGTAAGAATTGGATTCTAGATTTAATGAGAATGTGGTAGAGTTGCTTACTCTTGGCACATTTTTGAACACTTATAATGATTTCGAATCATTTGATGTTGAAAGTATTTACAATTTTACCAATAAATATCATATTGATGACTTTACTGAGTATGATAAAATGCATTTAAGCTATCAATTAGATCTATTTAAGCTTGACTTTTTTCATAATCAAGCTTTAAAAAATGTGTCTACACTTTCTGAGTTGTGTCAAGTGGTAAAAAAAACGAGAAAATCAAAAGTTTACTTCCTTGTTTAAAGATTGATCTGACTTATCTTGACTTTTACTATAACATTAAAGCATGCATTTTTTGCCATAAAACACGTTAAGAACAAGACTCATAATAGAATGTCAAATGATTTTCTTAAAAATTCGTTAATCATTCTCATTGAAATAAAATCATTCAAGACTTTGACATTGATTTAGTGATAGGCCTTCAACTTTATGGAAGACCGTTGAGTTCAATTAAAGTTGTCCAATCTTAGCATGCAATAATTGTTAAAAAATATCTTTATTTTGTATTTAACACATAATTGGAGTTATTTATATAATTTTTATATGAATTTTTTTCATCTAAGTACTTTATGTGTTTGTCAAGTATTGAACTTCTAGTATGACTATTTTATAGACATTATCTTCGCCCTAAGTATGAAATTCTAACTCCATCACTAATGGTGATTTTTGAAAATGATACAAAATGATATTTTTATTTAAAAAATTAGCTGATATATTTTTGTCTTATAAAAATAGTATCTAAGGGTTGGGTTTGGCCATCAATTTTTAGCTCGAAACTTGGTTAGGTTATTATGTTAATAAATAATATATTTTTATTAAATTTTAATTTCAAAATTTATATAAAATATTAAGATTTCAATATGAAAATAATGATTTAGTGATTTAATAATAAATTAATAGTTCAATGAGCATGTCAAGTTAGGTTCAACATTGATTTTTAAAAAGAAAGGCTTGGTAAGTATGGCTCTACCCGATTCATAGACATCTTTAATAGCAATCTCGTGAGATATAAATGTTTCTATTTTATATATATATATATATATATATATATATATATATAATTACCATTTTCTTGGTTAATATAGATAATTACCATTAAGTCAAATAAAAACCGTAATAATTTTGAATAGCTATTACCTCATTAATAGTTATTTGTTAATTAGAAAAAAATTCTAAGACCACTTAGAGTTATTTCAACCCATTCTTTTCAATTTTGTTTTTGATTATATCACATGTGCAAGAAATTATACTCATCCAGTGAAACATTACTCCAATAAATTACATAAATTTTGCATTCAAAATTAAATTAATCAACAAACTAACTTAAAATTGAATGAAGCCCATATAGTTAATAGGAATTGAATCTGTGACATCTTTTTTTTTCTACATATTAGAAAATCCAAAGAGAGATAAAAATTTAAATCTTATTTTAAATTTTGCATGAGAAGGTATAATAATAGTTAAGCGATTAGTACAGTTTTTTTCAGAGTATCTCTTGATATTTATTCTTTCATTATTTTACTCTATAATGTTTTTTTTTCTCAAGAACACTTTTCGAATAAGAAGGGATATAAACTTATTATTGTTAAATACTCATATATATATATTTATATACCTTATAAAGTTAATAAACGTTTGTTATTAACTTATGAGAAATTCTTCAATACATTGTTATAGTGGAGTCTTTGAGCTTCATGTACAAGTAAATTTACAGGATTACAACATATCTATTAAGTTATACTTAACAAAATTGATGAATTAGTATAATTAATAAATGAACATGTGATAATCTTGTAAAATTGTTTGAGGAGTTTAAAAAATCCATCACTAATGTAGTAAAGAATAATAATCTATTGAAAGAAATTTATCAAAATCAGGATTCTAAGTTCTGGCATTTAAGTTATACCATATATGGACAATAAATTTAGTACTAGAGCTGCCCGTGTGGTTGGTCGGATAAGTCTGCTTGACATAATTATTAATTAAAATATTTTTAAAATTATAATATATATTTTATATTAATATTTTAAATTTAAATAAATAAATATATATTATTTATTAATATAATAATATTCTTTATCAAAATTTAAAATTTTATGAGTTTGGTTTGAGCATAAGTGGATAACTCATGTTTTGTGTCGTAGATCATATCAACCATTAAAATATTATTTGATTTAATTTATTAAAACTTACGATTTTATTTTATAAAAAATATCTTATAACATC